AATTATTACCATTTATTTTAAAATAAAAAAATTCTTATTTTTTATATAAATCACTCTTATAAATTAATTTTTTTTACAAAAACTTTATATTTGAGTTCTATTTTTATTTAATTTATAATTTCTTAAATATAGAATTTTTAACTACTATTTTTGCTATTTAGGCTATTTTACTAATGCTGAGATTTTTACTTTTTTACTTATTTTTTAATTTGTTCTTTTTTATTTTTCATTATTATTAATACTGATAGATTAATTCTTATTTATACTTATAATTATATAGTTAAATAAATGCATTTAATTATTCATTTCTTATGTTTAAAATTTCTTTTATATTTTTTGATTTATCATTTTTAAAATTATATAAGAATGTTAAATCACTATTACTCTAATAATTCATATAATAATAAAGTTGATTAATTAGTAAAATTATCTCTTTTTTCTCTTTCTTTACAACTCTTTTTAATATATATATTTTTATCTAATATATATTGAATTTTAATAATATACTTTATTTTTTATATTTATTTAATGATTACTATTATTTCAAATACTATCATTTATATATCAACAAGTTTTTCACTTTCAAAATTATATAATTTGGCTTAAGAATATGTAAAATTATTCAAAAAAATATGATATTACAGTAGAAAATTCAAATTTCTCTTTGAATAACTTTCTACTATCTAATTTATCTAAATAATATAACTTACATTCCATTTTTTCTTTTGAAAATATTGCTATTTTAATAACTACAATGAAGATTTTAATCATATTCTAAAATCAGACCTACTTTAAAATTTTAATTATAGATTCCATTATCCATTTAATTTAATAAATTTTTATACATACTTAAAAACTGAATTCTTCAATAATATTAATAAAATCCTTGATCCCTTACATAGTTTTTGATTAGCAAGAATAAATCTACATAATTTTTCTTTCATAAATATTATTAAAGGCATTATTTTAACTATACTTACTATCTCCTTAACCTCTTTTATCAAATCTTCTTTTACCATTTTCTTCATTTTTACTTTATTCTTCAAGTTTATTTTCAATCAAGCTTATAATTCAGCATGAATTGATAAATTAATAATTAAGTTGTATTTTGACAAACATAATTACTTTATTAAAATTATAATAAATGTTGAATTGATTTAATTAATTATCAAAATTTATTAGCATCAAAGTATAATCAAGCTTATGAAAACATATAGAAAACTTGAGTGAATTATAGTTGCCTGGTAAAACTATTAGGTTTTAAATGGGATCATTGGCAAAACTGTAATAAAACCTTATTGGCAAACCTATTGAAACTTGAATCCATAATAAAATCCCGTCAAAAGTCAAATTATATTAAATACTTATTAACAAATCCGTCGAAATATAGGGTTTTAACTTTTGCAATTTGTTAAAATGAGTTTTTCCAGGCAACTATAACGTGAACTGACTACTAACAAAGATAAAGCTTACATATCACCAGTCACCAAAAAAAAAAGTAACTTTATCTCATCTAACGTTAATTTTTTCTATTAACAGTTTTTCTAACATTTTCTTGATCAAAATATTAATACCTTAAATCACATTTCTCATTTAAACAATTCTTACAAACATGGTCATCATTGGTCTCTTTTTAGATCGGTAATAACCAAATGTTCTACTTTTTTCTCTTCATTTAGTTTGGTAATGATGATTACTCAGTAAATCTTTGTGATCAGAAACAGACAGGACAACCGGTTGGTCTGATAGGAGCTAGTTCTGCTAGCGAAGAATATTAGGCAGCAGTTTTTATTTTTCTACATTTTACCTCTCCCCGCCAGATAAAGAGAGAAGTATTGCATATGATTCGCCAACATTCAAAATAACTTGTTTTCGATAAGTTTGGTAAGTCTTTGCAGCTCAACTTTGACCAGGCTGGTTGGCTATCCTAATTATTTATATAAAACGGACGGATTTCTAATAATGCAATGTAATTCCTTTAGCACATACACGCTCTTTTCTAATCCCTTCTTATTTTGTGATATTATCGTTTTCGCCCTTTGTAATTTCGTTATATTTTATTTTCTTATTTTTAACTTGTTTAAGCGTTGTTTTAATTAAATAACATTTAGTAATTAGCATTTATTGGGTTTAATAAAACTCAATATCAAAAAACCTTCCGTTTACAAATACAAATTGTTTATAAATATAAACATAAAGAACTGAATACAACAATATGGGAAATCTTTATTATAATAAATATACTTTATTATATTATTATATTTAACATAGTTTTATATTCATTTTATTCGTATAAATAGAGAATATTTGTATAAATAGTCCTGTAGTTCGACTTGGTTATTAACATGGTTTCTCAGAGATTTTGAGATAATTCTTGGGATTAAACTTATTAACTCCTCCTATTTACTCTTTCAAACATCTTCGTTTCATAATAAAGGTTTTGAATGTGAAACTTAACTATAAAATTGTGATAACTGTATTTTCATATAACTCACTCTTAGGACGAGCCTTGGATTTATTGTTGTGTCTGTTGACTTGGTTTCAGGTTAATACCAACTATTGTATATTTAACTCATAAAACGTTATAGGACGATGATCTTTATCAATTCCCCTTCCTAAATCGTTATTACAAATGCTTTTCATTGCTTTCTGATTGCTCACAATTGTTTAAAATAACTTTTAATGATTCTATATTCCCAACTATAACTGGAAATGGTTATATCCAAATTTAATAATGAATCATTATTTTTATATGATATCAATACTTCGCTAAGACCAAATCCTTTTATCATTTTCCAAGAATTTTGGTTCCGGTATTCATCATTTGGACATTCTTAATCAAAAATCAAAAATTAACTATTGTGGAAATTTAATATCTGGAAGAATTTCCAACCATTTTTTAAAATAATGGTCATGAAAGTACTTGTAATTTTGAGAGATTAGAAACTAATTACCATGGTGGTATTATAATATCCTTCAACAAAGTGTAACTTGGTTAATGTGTCAGGTAATTTGTTAACGGTTGAAATACTTCTGTCTTATATTTTACAAAATATTTCAAATCTAAATATTTTAAACGTTGTCGAACAGAAATTATGCAGTATCTGCTAATTCTTTTGAACTGTAAACTTTAAAATTCATCTTTAGAATCACAAACATGAGATAACTGACGAAAAAATTCAGGGAATTTTTCATCATTATATATATATTTTTTTTTATTTAAAAAAAGAAAAGAAAATAAATTGTCAAATTTAACAAGTGAGCAAGCTGTTTTAATTTTTTTAAAAAAAAAGAATAAATATTTCGATTTTCGATAATAAATATCACACATTACAAAGCGTGCAACCACGTGATCGCGAAGGTTTTATAAACGAGTTAGCAAAAAAACAGATCAAAAATAAAACAATTGGAATTGCTGCGCCATGTCATTGTAACGTGTTTAAATTAAATCTTCATTTAAAACGCAATTCTCGTATTCACCCAAAATTTTTTTTAAAGATAGTCGAAGTTTTTAAATTTTTTTTTTTCAAATATATCTCTTGAAACAATTAATTAAAAGAAAGGATGGGAAATTTTATTCAATAATTAGAAAATAATTTTTTGAGTTACAATAAATATATCATTTGATTTTACTTGCAACGATCCAATATAAAAATTGTATTAAATATGATTATGAAAATTGAATAGATACATTTGATTAAATATATAAGTTCTATTTGTTATTTGTAATATAAAGAATTAAAAATTTGATAAAATAGGTTGGCAAAAATAATTTACTCGTTACAATATTCCTTATTATTTATGCTACTAAAAAATCCAATTAATGGTAATAAAAATTATAACCATAGTTTGCTAACATAAATTAAATTGTCTCCCAGAGCACCTTTTCGATGGGCTCGTTGTTCCAGAATAAATTTGTTATAAAGAGAAATTATTCCAATGATATATTGGTGGAGAAATTCCATCCCTTGTTGACGCATTTTAATTATTTGTTAATTGATAAATTTATTTTATCAAATTTATAAGTTTATGATTGTTTGTTTTTGGAACATTAAGATAATTGAGATATTAAGAAGAAGAGATAAAGTAAAGTTCCATCCTTTTTCGAATGTCCAATTTTATACCTTTGAATTAGTAGAATTTTAGCACAAAAAAGGGGTTCATTTAAAACTATCCCTTCGTCTGTAGACTTTCACATGTTTATGCAGACAAATTTGCCTGTGTTACAGAGAAGGGATATTGTTCTACTTTGGGTACTGCTACGTTTCCACTTTTTCTTTCGATTGCTTTAAAATTTAAATTAACTGCGCCTAAGAAATTGCTGCGCAGCTAATTACGATCAATTTCGGGAACAGTTTCATAAAATTTTTACTTTACTTGTTATTTAGCCTTCAAAAGTTTCTTATTTATCGCATCATCATCGAGATTTTGTAAATAACCGAATAGGAAATTTAGGAAGGATCTTTAATTCTAATAAAGAAATAATTATGTACTTTTTAGTACATTATAAAGAAATAATTAAAAAGGCGAAAAGGCGACTTTGAGAAAAGTTCCAGATTTTAAATTCCTGCCTGCATGATAAACCAAAATTGAAATTTTTGAATATTTTGTATCACCCATCATACTTTAAATTTTTTTTTTCTAAAAAAAAAATTATGTACATAAAGAGGACATTACATTCTACTAACCCCTCTAATACAATGATGAAAAATTTTCTTATTATTTATTTAATAATAATTCGTTATGTCGGGAAGGGAGGAGTGTCGCATTGACACAAGGTTTTGATTGTAATAAACCTAACGATAGCTGCTATGAGCTAAATAAGCTTTTAAACCGTTGTGGTTACAAAATTGATTTTTCTAGTACAATTTATGGAAAAAATTGGGTTTAGGTAGCGTACATATAAACGTATACTGTACATACAGAAAAGAGACTTTTTTTCGAGTTGAATTTTATCCTAAGAGGTGCTAAATTCTATTTATTTATTTTGTTTTTCAGATATGTGGACATTTCCAAGCTGCATGTGCAGTCAAGTATTTTATAATAATCTGGTTTCTTGCGGAAATGCTTGTAATATTCCTGTGGATGAGCCAGCAAAATATGAATCCGATTCTGAAATTGGCAATCATCCAGTAAAAATCAATGGAGGGTATGTATATGTCCAAAAATTTTTTTCCAATATCGTTTCTCATTACTCATAATTTTTTTTTTTATTAAGGAATTCAAATTCAAATTAACTACGAATGTGGGTACAATGTACATAGAGCAAAATCCAGATTCACCAGATGCTGATTCCAAACAATCAGTTTCATTAGGTTTAAAAATAGGAATACCCATTGGAATTGCTTTTATACTTACTTTGATAAGTGTTATAGGTAAAAAAAAATGTGGGGGCTCAAATAAAAATTAACCGATATGTAAATTTTTTTGAATCCCCTGTAACTTATCATTTAAATAGATTAATATTTCCAATTTTATAAATGAACAAAATTTTGAATCCCTGTAATTTATCACTTAACAGATTATTATTTCAAATAAACAAAACAAAAAAAAACTTTTTATTATTATTTATCGAAACGAACATTTTTTTTTTTATAAATAATTCATTGACAATTATATTTATCTTAATTTAAAAGGTATGCTTACTTTTTAAGGTTGCCGGGCAAAACCTCGAGGTTTCGACAAGCATCGAAATCGAAACCCATCGAAACGTTTTGCCAAATTGTTTTATTAAGAGGGACTCACTTTGTTAACGAAATGCTAATTCCTTGTGTGAAAAACTGGGAACAAAGCATAAACTATCCTCAGCATATCACCCCAGACCAACGGATTAGTTGAACGTTTAATCGAACGCTATGTAAACGCAAAATTGCGAAAGTTTCGACGGGGAGCAAATGTTTCGACAATGGCTATCGGTGTTAACGGATCAGCGTGTCGGGAGTAGTCGTAAATACTTAAAAATAATAATATGTTACATTTAAGGAATATTTTGCATTAGAAATATTGTTTATAACAAAAAAATAAAATGATATTTTTTACATTGCGGCTATCCCCATCATTTTGCAGATCGATAAAAAAATAACTCGGTAAAACTTGGTATAGAATTTTTTGAAGAAAAAACAATCGCTACGTTCAGATCAGTGCTCCGAATATAGCGACATAATTCTTTTTACCCATATATAAATGTATTTAGCTTTTCCAATTCCTTATAAATGTTCTCGGAAAAGTCTCGGATATTCTCGGCTGTCCCGTAACTTATGAAATTAGCTGTAAGCATTAAAAAAAAAAAAAAATTTCATTATTTGAAATTTTTTATAATTTTGATAGATTAAAATGTGATAAGGTCTTAATTTTATTCTCGGAGCAATCATCCAATATAATGATCTATGCATTAGTCTATGTGAGATAGTATATATTCACGTCCTTTTTAAGAATTCGCAAAGTTGTTATCGAAACCGTCGAAACCATCGAACTTTCGAGTCCCATCGAAACCCATCGAAACTGTCGAAACAATTTCTGAAAAGTTTCGCCTTTTGCCAAAATGGGTTTTAGGGTTTTGCCCAGCAACTATATTACTTTTCTAATAATGCACATTAAGCAGGTGGGGTATTTTCAACTATCCTATTTAACCAAAGTCGGATGATTTCTTAGCAAAAAAAAATTATCATAACAAATTCTCTATTTATAAATTAAATTAAACCATAGCAGATAAATTTAGAAATTTAGGGATGGATCGGTCCTGGTGAGACCGGTCCTTGTGGTCCTCCTTTATTATTCATAACATATTATTTTAAACTTTATAAATACTAAATAAATTATAAATTAGAGTTGGATCGACCCGGTTTTCATCTCTCTTATGGACCGGTCCGGTCCAAAGAAAGATGAAAGACTGGTCTTTTTGGATCGGATCGGACCGGACCGTTCCAACTCTAGATAAATTCTTCGAAACCAAACGAAAAAATAAATTACCTTTATCTAGTACATATCTTATAACATACAAAATAAAATTTATCTTCTATGTTCAATCGTAAGTCATTAACTATATCTCATCGTCACAAAATATCTCTTGTTATAAAAATATATATCATCATTTTATTATTTAATAATAACGTATTCTTCCAAAGATAAGCATCACCTTTTTTGAAACATAATACCGGCCAAGATTTAGTAACGCGGGCCAAATTGTTATAAAGCGGGACATATTGCTTATTTAAGAAGGAACCCGGCGATAATTTTCTGTTCGGGAAAGAGAAAAACATTGTATTGGCACAAGATTATTTTCATGATCATAAAATCCTGACGGTAAATGCTATAAGCTAAATGAATTTTTTAGACTTTATTATTTCAAATTGATTTAGAATCAATTTGGGGTAATAAATTCGGCTAAGGTAACGTATTTTCTGCTGTACATTTAAAAAAAAGTTTTCAAAATTTTTTGTTCGTTTGGTTTTTTCCTTCCTTCTAAAATTTCATAATAAGGTCAAATATTTTTTTTTTTTTCAGATATGTGGATATTTCCAAGCTTGCATTTGTAGTCAAGAATTTTATGGTTATCATGCTTCTTGTGGAAAGTTTGTAATTTTCCTGTTGATGAGCCAGAAAAATATGAATCCAATAAACCTCAATGGTTTCATTTTAAATTAAATCGTTTCTCATTTTCATTTCATTTTTTTTATATTATGGAATCCAAATTCAAATTCCGGTGCATCAATTTCATCACCAAGAAAATTGATTGTGATATGTATAACGTCATCCGTGTATATTACTAATAATTATTTATCTAATACCAATAAATTTAATATATATGAATCCTTGAGTAAATGCCATAAACTCAAATTGATTCGTATTAAAATGTACCGTAAATTTTCAAACGATCCTAGAAAATTCCGAGTATATTTACAAACGATTGACTCGTACAGCGGTCATTACCAGAATTTTACAAATTTATAATTTTTGATTCAACGTTATGTAAATTTAAATTAAATTAAAAGAAAACATTGCTACATAAAAAAAAAGAATTTAAATACAAAAACAATGATCTATACTTGTCCTTCAATAAAAATGATATTTTTTTATTTTTTTGGAATATCATCAAATAATCGTTTCAATAATTATAACGCCAAGTCACGAGACTTATACTACCGGCAACTCAAATTTCGTGAAAAGTACTGATCTGCAACATCGTACCGCATGGCGAGTAACCACCAAATAGGGCGCGGTCCGTCTTTTTGTTATTTTTGTATTACCAATCAAGTCAGTATTTTATCCTTTAATTTTTTTTTTTTCTAAAAAAAAATTAATTACGTTCTTAAGGAGGACATTATATTTAAGTCACATTCCTTTAAATATAATATAAATATATATATTAAAATGATGAAAACTTTTCTTATTATTTATTTAATAATAATTTTTTATGTCGGAAAAGAGAAAAGTGTCGTCCTAGCACAAGGTTTTGATTTTACGCATAATTGTAACAATCCTGATGCAAGCTGCTATAAGCTAAATGTGCTATTACGACCTTGTTTTTACAAGATTGATTTTTCTAGTACAATTTATGGAAAAAAAATGGGTTTAGGTTGCGTATACACATATAGAAAAATTTTTTTCGAAATTATTTCGAGTTGATTTTTATCCTGATAAAGGGTTCTAAATTCTAATTTATTTATTTATTTTGTTTTTCAGATATGTGGACATTTCCAAGCTGCATGTGCAGTCAAGTATTTTATAATAGTCTGGTTTCTTGTGGAAATGCTTGTAATATTCCTGTGGATGAGCCAGTAAAATATGAATCCGATTGTGAAATTGGCAATCATCCAGTAAACATCAATGGTGGAGGAGGGTATGTATGTCCAAAAGGTTTTTCTTATATCGTTTCTCATTACTCATTCTTAAATTTTCACTTCCTTTTTATTAAGGAATTCAAACACAAATCCTAATCAAAATCAAAATGAAAATCTAAATTCAAATTCAAACACGAATACAATAAACATAAATCAAGATCAAGATTCAAATTCAAATTCTATTTTTGATTCCGGTTCATTTTCATTATCTATTAAAATTGGAGGAAGCGTGGTTGTGATCATAATTATTGCTATTTTAATATGGTGGTGTGTAAAAAGAAGAAGACAGTCTTACACAAACGCTCCTCCTATTATTCACGCTCCTCCCGTTATTTTCACCGCTCCCACTCACCCCATTCATCCCACTTATCCACACCACACTTTTCCCACTCACCCCATTTATCCCACTCAACCCACTTATCCCACTCACTCCACTTATCCCACTTATACTTACCCCTAATAATTAGGTCAATTTTAAATAGGAAAGTTATTTCTAATATACAGCTGGTATGTTGTTAGAAATATTTTCATGTATCTTTATGATTTGTTTAACGGGATAAATGAAGAAGGAAAGATTTGATTAATGCAATTGGATATGCAAGCTTATAGCAGATTATTCCCAATTTTTATAAATTAACAAAACAAAAACAAAAAAAGTATTTGCTGCGCCTACACAACAAATAATCACATTTAAAATAAATGCACGATTTGTCTTACGAAACCGAATCCGCAACTGCGCCTCTTATATAACAACCAACGGGATTGATCATGCAGCATTAGAATCTCCATTTCCATCTTAATTGATTCAGATTTTATAACTGGTTGATCAATTGATGTTTTCTATATAAAAATTTTTTTATAAATAGATTTCATCTCTTTGCTTTAGATAGAGAAATTTGGATATCTTCTCTTAAAGCCTATTACGGAGAATAGTGAGACAGTAATTATGTTTTTCCTTTTGTATTTCTAAATTTTTTAATACATCTTTGTTAATGATCGTTAAATTGATCGGCAATCGTGCAGCAGTAATAAAAATCAAAAAAAAAAAAAAAAAAAAAATTTAAAATTTATTGAAAATATTTTTAAGAGACTTCATCTAGTCAAAAACAAAACCGGTTTGAATTTAGTTCCCAAAATTACATCCAATCGTTGTCGCAGAGATGCGAGTAAATATCCTAACGGAATTGGTAAAAACAGTTATGATTGATTTGCTTTTTGTTTTTCTATCAACAAAATAGTAGTAAAAATAATAAATTGATGACGAAAAATAGAAACTCTTATGCGGAGTGTAAATGAAAATATCGTCTAAAAAAGATTATAAATCAAGTAGCTAAAGATAAAAATACACAAATTGATAGTATATGAAGTAAAATATCCTACGGAAATGGCCGATATAGATAGCAATTATTTTTTACGAGGAGTATGTACTGTACATACCATTACGTTCTTTTATCATGTACAACATACAACACTGATCTTATTGGCTATTTGAAATTGAAAAGAAAAAGTTTTATATAAATTAAGTAAACGGAATGATACATAGTAGTAATTCGATAACCTGGGTCGGACCGACCCTTTCGGTGTATGTATTAAGCAGTGCTTTTATTAATATTTTTGATCCAATTTAAATTACTCTCATATAATGTGAAAAACCATATAAATTTAAAGAAAATAATTATGAAACTTTTATTTTACTTTTTTATTTAAAAAGGGTTTGTGTTAGATATTATGAAACGGTTCCGGAGTTTAAATTCCTGCCTGCATGGGTGATTCCCACCAAAAATGGCGCGGTCCGTTTTTTTGTTATTTTTGTATTACCTAAATACAGTCAACAATAATTGATCTTTTATTCCAAAAATTCATTTGTTGTTTCAGTCTCCGTATATTGATTTCACAAAAGATCTGTCCAATAAAATCAGTTAACCGACTAAAATTGGATAAATAGTCCTATTTCTTATAAACAATCCTCTTATAATTCTAAAATAAAAAAAAAAAAAAATTACGTTGGACAATATTTACGTCACATTCTATTAAAAAAAGTATATATACTACCTATTTCATATTTTTTATCGGCTTTTTCAGTTGTCAATAATTACGTAATAATTTATTTAAGCGGAAGTTAATTATTAAAAATAGTAATATATTAAAATGATGAAAACTTTTCTTATTATTTATTTAATAACAATTTTTTATGTTGGGAAAGAGAAAAGTGTCGCATTGGCACAAGGCTTTGATTTTATTCATAATTGTAACAATCCTGACGCTAGCTGCTATAAGCTAAATGTGCTTTTAAAACCTTGTTTTTACAAAATTGATTTTTCTAATGCAATTTATGGAAAAAAATTGGGTTTAGGTAGGTTTAGGTAGCGTAAATATACAGAACGTATACTTACAGTATATAGAAAATTTTATTTTCGAAAATTTTCGAGTTGATTTTTATCCTGACATGGGGTGCTAAATTCAAAGTTATTTATTTATTTATTTTTAGATTCATGGCCATTTGCAAATTGCATGTGCAGTCAAGAATTTTACAATAATCTGGTTTCTTGTGGAAATGCTTGTAATATTCCTGTGGATGAGCCAATAAAATATGAATCCGATTGTGAAATTGGCAATCATCCAGTAAACATCAATGGTGGAGGAGGAGGGTATGTATGTCCAAAAGGTTTTTTTCCAATTACATTTCTCATTACTCTTTCTTAAATTTTCATTTTTTTTTTATAAAGAAATTCAAACTCAAATCCGAAAAATTCAAATCCAAATTCAAATTCAAATCCAAATCCAAATTCAAATTCAAACACAAACACAAACACCAATACAAATACCGTAAACGTTTATACAAATTCCGGTGTATCAATTTCATCATCAAAAATAATATTTGTATTAGCGCTACTACTGCTACTACTTGTTATTTGAAAACAAGGTAAAGGGAAAAAAGCCTTCCCTACTTGTAAATTTAGTATTGTTAACGTGAGAACTGGAAAGGGATGATTCGTAATAATTAACTTCTTTTTTATTATTATTGACTGTAATAGCTATCAGACTGCGCCATGATGATAATTACAGACCTAGCCTTTCTTTAATAATATATTTTGTTTATTTTATTTTATTTTCTTAAAAATGAAAAAACATAATAGTATATTTCCTAAACACCATATAATTTTTCTGATTTTTAAACAGCAAGTTAAAGAAGTGATTATACGCATCCTTAAAATTAACCGGTTAACGGTTAAATATTTGGTTAACCGACCGGATATCCGCAGTTATTGCTAACTCAAAAATGCAATAAAATATTATATTTATTTAAACTTTCTTACGGAAAAAAGTGTCTTAAAAAGTAAATTACAAAGGCCAAAATTGAACATTGCAATGCCAAGGAGCCAGTAAATCATTATTTTTTTTTTGCTCCACACTTTTTAGGTATAGTTTCATTTTATTTGACAATAAATTAAAAATTATGCACTTATCTATTTTAAGAAATTTGTACACAATTTAAGAAATATTAACTGTTAAAATTAGCCGGCTAATTTAAAAGTAGAATATATTAGCTTTTTTTAGAGCATACATACCAAAAATATAAAGTAATATTAACGTGTGTTAAAATGTTGAGATTTTGGAATATCTGGCACGTTTTAAAAAACCAAAGTTTGTGTAACCTTTGGAACGGTTGTGAAATCTCGTAATCATTATTTATTTCGTCAGTTGGCAAACGGGAATATAATCTTATTGGAAAATTCATAAAGTTATATCGATCTTGAATGGATGCTAAATTTATTGTTCTTTATAAGGACTTTTTCCAATATGTCACTAAACTCAGTTTAAAAAACTTGAAACAACGAATTATTAATATAGAAAGAAGGAGATATTTAAAAAACTTCATTTAGCTTGGGATCTGTAATTTTATTTTACCTATTTTTAGCTTGACTTTGGCTAAAATCTGAAATTGGCAAAATGATATAATTGTTTGTTAACTTTGTAATTAAACTTTTTAAGATAAAAATTTCTCGGAATTGAACAAAAATGATTATAAAATCAAGTTTCATAATGTAGACCTCTATTTATAAATAAATTATAAAGGTTGTCATATTTTCCTGTATTCAAAAGGAAATTTCAAATAATATTATTATACCACCTCTTGCATATCTCGCCAGTAAAACCTGTCGTTCTAATATGTCAAATCAGACTAATTTATAATGATAATTTTATTATTTGTCGGTGAAATAACCATTTCTATTCTCCCAACGCTTAGGGATGAAAGAGTTAAAATTGTTCATTTGATCGCACATTCTCAAGGATATACCATAGTGGTTTTGGTCATCAGGATATTACGCTTGGAGTTGAGTTACACCGGAGATCAAGGTTGCCTGAGCAAACTTAGCGTGCATGCGTTCTCAGATTTATCTAGAGGATTTAGGAACCTCGGTAACCAGACCATCCAAGATCCAGCTATTATGAGAGGTATTATTAATGAAATTTCTTACGTTCGTTTTGGAGCTACGACCGTCAGAATTTAGTTTTATTTTTAAAATTTAAACGCTTTTTATTATTATAATTTGAATAAAGATTTTATTGATAACATTAACACTAAACTGTATTTCACTAGGGTGCTGCCTCATTTAAATGAGATCTCGTTTTTTAAAATTTTTCAAGGTTATTTAAAATAAATAAATAAAAAGCTGTTAGAACCATCGCATGATTTAATTGTTTTGACTATTAAGGAAAAGGAATGATAAAGTGCACTAAATGAAAGTAAAATCTTTCATCGAAGAACCGTTATGAGGGAGATATTTAAATTATGATTCTTGAAAATTTAATTATTAATTGAAATTTTGTAGATATTCCAAAATCTAAACATGGAACACTCTTTTTTGACTTTTTATCATTACATGAAAGTTTTTATCAACTATATAATTGTAAAAGGTGTACAGTATAAGATTTATTATATTTTTGAAGGAATGTACTTTGAAATCAACCAGTAAACCAACTTTGATTTTGTAAGGTTCATATGATACTTGAACAAATTCAAGTCTAGTCATTTTCTTTTATTTATTTGAAATTTACAAAATAATAATATAGATTATAGAGCAATTTACGTGGAAAATGTTACTTTCCAATTCAAAACATTTTTCGTTGATTGGTACCATTTCCTTAGTAATTTATATTATAAAAAAAAAAGCAACGTAAGTATAGTAGAATGGTTAATTAAGTAAATTTAAACATCTTACGAAATATTATAGAGCTTTTATTAACAAATATAAATATGTCGAAAAAACTTGTACCATTTTGACATATCCTTATATGTAATTGTTTATTATTTTCTACTCTTTAAACTAAACAAACTCAATTTTTGACTATACTACGCAAAATAACTTTTTTTATCTTACGTAAATCTAGAAAGATTTGAACCTAAATCTGGAATAAAAAAAATTTTTTTTTATTCTTACTCAGAAATGAAAAGGTTCGATTGAACAAATAGTTACAATTATCAATTTAATTTTCATCATCACTACCACTCTATACTATTCTAGCACAGCCTTCGCCCAAGCGAAATCCGAAAGTCAAAATTTGAAATTATCCGATGGCGCAGGTTCCGATCCAAACGACCGATAATATTGAGTAATTCAAAAATTTTAAAATTTTTACAAATATCACTTTAATTTTGTTATGGCATAATTTAAATAAATGAGTAACATTTCTTTTCTGCAACATGATTTGAGTTCATTTAGAACGGCAAATAGTTTATACACGATTTTTATATTTAATTTTTTTTATTTTCTTTCTATTATTAATATAAAAGATTTAATAATTCAAAATGAAGATTAAAATTTTATAATTTCATATTTCGTTGCTGTATACCAACTAGAACACAAAATATTTTTCATATCAAGACTTACAAACTGTAAACTCCTAACGACAGCCTCATGAAAATGGTATATGGCACTTCGTACGATTTATCCTGATTAGATATTCAGGTTTTTTAATGTTTGTATTCAAATTAATTCTATAAAAAGTAATTTTTTGTAGTTACTTCACGGAATCCTTACACTTACAATGAAAACGCAATGGTCATTGATTTAAACGAAACAATTTATGGGTATTTTAATCAAAATATATTATATAAATTATTAAACTTTCATCTTTATTATTAATCACTTTATTTTTCTTGTAACACTACATTTAATGGTTACCCGACTGAGATAGTATTATGCAAATTACAAGAGTGATTAGTTTTTAACGATATGAAATGTAATTGCCCGAAGTGAAAGCGGAGAACGTTTACGTTCTGTGCAAAAGGTCGAAATGTTGGTCGGTCACTATAGATGTTATCACCATGGCATTTGGGTCAAGGCGTAGCATTAGCATTAGGGTTAGGACGTGACATAGAGTTAGGATGTGGCATTGTGGCATTAGGTTCATTAGGTTAGGGTTAGGGTTAGGGTTAGGAAGTTCGGAAGGAAAGGTTTTGTTATGAAAGCCGGCCGCAGGCCACGCAGCCAACGGCTGCGCGACATTTCCGATAAAAGTTTCGTGGAATTAGGGTTAATTCGTAGCATTAAAGTAAACAACCTATAAATAATGATCAAAATAACGAAAAAATCTCTCATATTTATTATTCATTGTGAAACTATTATATATAACACTATACTAAATTAAATGTAAATGTAACAGTAAACTAAAATAAAAATGTCAAGCTCGAAAAAATTGGAACGTGACAGCGCGACGCTCGCTTCGGACGCACAACGGTCCCCGTTGACTAGTATACACATAAATATATTAATATATATTTACTTTAATTATTTACTTATTGGTTTTCTGGCTAAGAATAAACATATATTGTACTATTATTTTTAATCCATATTTAAATCAAGAATTCGTTATCTTATGGTTACGCTAATTCCATGGGTTTCGAAGTCAATTCTATTATTCCACGAGAAGGAATTTAGGTCTTAATCTTGGAATACCCAGCTGTTCTCTATGACAATCCAAGATTTTAAATTTACTAGGATTAGTATCGACGTTTTTAATGAGTTGGTCAATTTTGTGTAGTGACAGGTGTTATGAATTGAATCGTTTAAATAAACAAATTATTTTAAAGTTTAATTTTATTTCATGTGGAACTGCGTATAATTTTAAACAATTGCAATTTTAAACGAATTAATTCATCATTGATTTATTAAGTGGAATGGGATTTGTTGATGGTCAATTAGTATTTGATGGTTATATTTTTAATGATAACGGTGAATTTTTAATTCTTGGTATCTTTCAAATATCGAGCCAAGGGTTAATTTTCTTAGCAAGTTTCTGAGAAATAATAATTATGTGCAAAGTTGGACTTTGATATATATGAGATATTTAATCGAGGTAAGTTATATCATTAGAATTATTGTAAAGATTGATAAATTGTATAATTTAACTTTGAAATTTATAATATTTTAGATTATGGATATAATAATTTCCATATCGCTTCCACAACTCCGAGGCATTTGATAAAGAATTCCCTCAAAACAAATATTATAATGAAGTTGAATTATCAAACAAAATGATGGTAAAAATCTTTTCGGGAATCGACAAACATATATGGGGGTGGTCAGTTGAAAAGAGGGAAATCCACTTTTTAGTCAAAATTTTATTTATTGGCTCACTCTGCTGATCATGGTCATGTGAACAAAACTAGCTTAATAACTTAAATTACTCAAAAATTTGTAGATTTCCCCCTTTTCTATTGACCGCCTCCCATATATCTCATATTGAAGCTGGAGATTTAACTACTATTAATATCACAATATTTAAATCCATTTTCAATCAGCCTAGTAGAAGATACTACGGTATGTTTCAATTGATAATGATTTTGCTAAAAGACAAAGAACCTCTCTATGGTGTAAAAGACTTTTTATGGTCATTTACTACAACACGTAAGTTTTATTTCCTCTATTTTCTAATTTAATTCATTAATTTTATCTAGTCTTGTATTTTATAATTTCGTTTACATAGGTATGGTACTTGCATTTATAATTACTAAAAAGAAGAAAAAACGAGAGAATTTCTTGAATGGTCACGTGAAAATAGTAATTTGAAGAAATATTCACATTATTTGCAGGTTCTAAAATTGGAGCGTTAACAGTATTCGAATCAAAAGTAAGAATGGAGGATTAATATCTTTAATGCTAAATTTTTAAAGTAGCATTGAAGCGAATATATTGAGATTCTGGTTTAATGTCCCTCAATTTATTATTCAGGTAAATAATGCTAATAATAACATATTATTATTATTTACTTTTTTTATTGATTTTATTAGATTTTTATGTTTCGCATCAACGATATTTCTCTTTTTGCTTTAAAAATAAAAGTATAGAACTGATCAGATATTCTAAACTATCTGAAGAGAAACACTTTTCTTAGACTAGTTCCCGCAAAGGTTCAAGATGTTTTCGAACTGAACAAATGGGCTTGTGTTATACTCAGCCAGTGAATAAGAGGTTTTAAATTGCATTAAAATATCAACGGACAAAATATAAGTACTCTATCTTGATAAATAATTTTAAAATTATGATTTTTATCAGAAAATTGGGATTAAATTTCTTGAACTGCTAATTTGAATCTTTGTAAATGGGTGCGATACTTCAGAAGCGTGGATGTCTTTCCGAATTTTTTAGGGACATAAACTCAAATTATTCACGATTCTTTTTATCGCTTTGATTAATTCAAAAAAATTCAAGCGAGAAAAAACTTTTACAATTAGAATTATAGAAATAATTTCACACCTTTTTAATCTTATTTGCACGTAAATGATATTGTCAGTCGATTTCACTTATTGAAAAATAAAAAGGTTATTTTAAATTATACTGTAGTTAAAGATTTTGAATATCTCTATGGATATTTTATCACCTAACGTTAATGGACCCTTCACTATTCAAATTTATTAAAATAAAAGTTTGAGATTACTTAATTGTTAAAATTATTGGTTCAAAATATTGTATTTACAAAACGTGTTTGCTATATTTATAAAGCAAGATTTATTTACTCTGGTTTCATTTTTTTTTAGACCACGTGTACAATACAAGATGATCGTATATAAAGTTCTGTAACAACATTTCTAACTTTTTCTACAGACACCGCAGTATATTCACACGCAAAAAAAACTTCAACGTTTTTATTTAATATATGTAGATAATTTCTAATCATGTTTACTTCTCTTCTTTTTTCAAGCAGACTACTTGAATGAATTAATAACTAACAAACAAAATTTTTTGGTATATAGGCACATATTTCATATTTTAGAGTTGATATAGTAATAGAAATAGCATAGAAGGAACGCTAGATAGAGGTTAAATAAAGGTTAGATATATATAGCGATAGAAACATTTGCTTTAGAAAAATGAAAATTTCATTAATGACACTATATGATATAAAAGAAAATAATATTACAGTATATAGAACGTCAGATTTGGAAATTGGTAAATTATACTCTCGAACTTTATAAATGGATTTTTGATATAGATATTATAAAAGTTTAATATAAAAGACACATTCGTTAGATCGTGGAATTGGACATAACTGGATTAAATTTTTATATTTTCTAGTCAGTTTGATTGTGATCTGTTTTTGGTAAGTATTTGGGAGGCGGTCAGTAGTGATACGATTAAATGGCGAAATCTTCATAATTTCGTTTGAAGATCGCTCTTGATAAATGCAGTTAGTCCCTTTGACGATCATCTGCCAGTTTGTCACGGTGCCAGTTTGTCAAGACGCCAGTTTGGCTTAATTAATAATCTTTTATAAATACAAGCCGGAAATTTTAAAACAGCTCAATATCCACGCCCGCCTTTAATATATTCCTTTGACAATCATTCCCTTCGCTATATTCCCTTTACACCTTCGCGATAATTTCGATTTTCGCCCTAATTTAATAAATTTTATTATTAGTAAAAATTAATCTATTTAATAAAAATTAATACTATATATTATGAAGTTATGTGTATATATGTCATATGTAAAATATTTCAAAGACAATTAACATAAAAAATACATTGACTTTGGCACTTTTTTTTATGTAATCGCAAAATGTTGCTTTAATAAAACTTACCCAATAATAATTAGTTTCGATAAAATTCGGTATTTTAATAATATAAAGCAACTTGTTAAAAATTAACATATATTATTATGTAGAATTTTACAGTCGGAGCTAATTAACTTGATTTACGGCGTTTTTTATATATAAATGAAGATCGGCAAATAATGATACGATTTTTATGTAATATCAGTACCTTTTCATGCATGATCATGTGACAACTATGAATCTTTCAAAAAATTTATGGACGATTAAGAACTGAAAACCGAGAATCATTTTATTGTTGACATCCAGTCATGTGATGTGAATTTTGATTTGATTTGTTTCAATAAGCTTGCTGGTCTCATTAACCTCTGTTTGCATGCGATTATGAAAAGCGCCTCCAAGAAGAAATAAGTGTATCAGATCAATTGGATTATATAACGGTAATTTCTATTCACAAAGTCTCAATTTTGAAGTTTGACAGCCGCAGAATTAATTATTTGTTGTCTATCACGTGATAACTTATAGAAAATTTCGCTTTCATTATAAATTAACGAAATTTAGTTGGACCTCCGCTCAATCTTTCTTGGTATAAGCCGTTCTCATATGCTCCGCACATATTTAATGCGTTTTATTAAAATTAATAAATAAAAATTTTACGATAATCCTATCCCGTTTTGGAACTTCATTTATTTCTAACTTTTTAAGTTAGTATCCTTATAATGTCATTGGCGTAAAAGCTCATAATTATTTTCTTGCTCGGACCGTAGTTTAGTGTAACAATAACAATTATTTGTGGCAAGCACGGAAATCCTTTTCCGATTTATTCTCATAATCAATCTTAAAAAGGGAGACAACAATCATTTTAATATATAACGATAAGGTTTTCTCGTTGGTGTTCAATAGGAATTTCAGATAATATCATCTCAATCCTTGCCGAAAAAAAAAACTCAATTTTATCATGTCAAACCCATGGGAACTCATGTATGAAGACTTCGTTTGGATCTTTTCCCATCCATATGAAGTTTTAATTGAATTCGCATTCCGTAACACGATACTCGCGATGCATTTCGATTATATTAAAGATGAGAAAACGCCAAAGGGCGAATTTAATCTTCTATATTGGAGCAACTGGCGTGGTTTATTATCTCAGATATGGTTGTTTTTTATCACGTTACCGATTTTTTTTGTCTATCCCTATTTTGCGATGAAAGCATTAGAAAGACCGTATGTTCGCATGCCTGCACCACCAACCACAGATGAAGAAAGGAAGATTGACGAGAAAGAGAAATGGTTTTTCATCAACGGTGTGATGGTAAATGAGGATTGGTTAGATGAAAACTGTAAATACCTGGAAGCACGTTTCGGTAAAAAGGTTATAGGCATTCTTAATAGTAGTTATGGTTTATTCTGGGATGTTGTGGAAACCGTCCTTCAGAGAAGTTTTGAAATCGATACCATGTCGGTGCGACAGGCAACGAATTATATTCTCCCATCGCTTAGGGATAAAAAAACCGAAACTGTTCGTCTGATCTCACATTCCCAAGGTGGTGTCTTAGCAAATTTGGTCATCAAGAGATTATACACGGAGTTGAGTTATACAAAAGAACAAGGAAATATGAGGAAACTTAGCGTGCACACGTTCGCAAATATATCTAGAGAATTTGGGAACCCCGATGGTCTAATCAATTGCATTGAACACTATGCAAACAGACGTGATCCAGTTGCGATAAGAGGAATTATTAATAACATTAATGACAAGCGTACTATAGGCGAAATTTTTATCAACGACGTTAGGAACGGAGGTAAGGGCCACCTGTTCAATTCGTTTTATAGCCTTAACCTTGATGATTACTTTTCTGCGCGAGGTGGTGATGCCGTGTTGTTGAATCTTCCTGGAAAGGTGGATCATCTGCCCATCAAAGTTGTGATTTAGTTCTTTTTGAATTCGATTGTGCAGAATTCTATTTTATTTTATCATTCCATTTCATTTTATTATTATAGTTAGGGTGGCATCATGTATAAGAAGAATTTAATTATGAATTATTTGATCTTTTATTGTCCGCTAATAATTTTCATGTAATGATCCTTTAAATTAAATTATCACAAAAAGGATTTGATTCGAAAAATTATTAGTAAAGTAGTTGATTAATGTTATAGTTTATTTTTGTATACAATTTCTTCACATATATTTTCCGGTATGGGTCGGTGCAAAAACATTTGTACCTCAGATAAATGCCAATAAAAAAATTTTTAACATAAAAATTTTTTTTTTTTTATTTAAATAATATCAATACATATTGGGAATGATATGATATAAATATTAAATCAAGTCACATGATCCTTATCAGAACCACTATAATAACTTAATTCCTCATCAATTAAATATGCTCCTTTGTCAGATTCAAAATAATCCTTAGTATGTTTTAACGCTTTTCTCCAAAGCCCAATAATAACCTGTGAGGTAATTTTTTTTTTAAATGCATCTAAAAGTGTATTTCTAACAGATAAAAGGTTTGTGTGAGGTCCTGAACATGCAACTTCACCCTTTACAATTGCCCAAACACCCTTAATAGGCTGCAATTCACAATGGTATAGAGGGGTAAAAGAAACCTCATGTTCATACTGCTCTGCAATTTAACACAAGAAAATTGTACCTTTTCCTTAGCCATTTTAACCAGTTCCAAAAGTTCGGGTTTTCTTAATTCGTCAGAAAACTCAATGCTGTGTGCATTTAACCAATCAATAATTTTCTACTTCCTTGCACTTGAAGTTGGAATAGTTTCAACCCGCTATTTGTGATAGCTTGCTCCATCCATATAAATGATTACAGGACCATACTTTTCATGAAGTGTTTTGCAAAGAGTTGAAAAAAGATTCTCAAAAATTTCTGCAGTAAAATTTCCATGGTAATCCACTTAGTTAAGAACGATATTTGCTTCTTTAACAACATCAGGAACATCATTCCATTCTTCAGCATTGTTTCTTTTTCGTCCGCAGTTTCCTGGAGGTTTAATTTTTGGATCCCAAATGTGAACAAAGTTAGGAACAAGTTCGCTATGTAATTTATTTGAAGCTCCATTTCGAAATACAATAATTGCACCAAAAATCACTACTAACGGTCTGTGCTCAGGTTCTAAAATAACACCTCGATGAGGAACCTAAGTTTTACGTGTATTATGGTGTAAATGACAATATGACTCATCAAGAAAACTTCTGGGTAGCGTGGGACGTCATTATTACCTTCTAAATTAGCAAAGCAGTAGCGGAAGTATCAACAACGAAATGCAATATTATTTGGTGACTTGTGGAGAATATTTCTACGTTCTCACTGGCTATAGTAAAAGCCCAAGTGATGTAATAGTCGAAGAAGCTTCTATTTAGAAAAGTCATATCCATTTTCAGCAAGGAATTGTCATAGGATAGGTGTAGAAAGTTGCCCACCTGTTTTATTTGTATTCAAAATTTTTGTATGTAAAAGTTCCGAAATGTCCTTGTTAGGTTGCGATTTAGGTCGTCCAAGAGTTTTGTGTGGTATGAATGTGGAGTCACTACGGCTGTTCTAGTCTGAAACTATGCTTCCAACTGTGCCTTCAGCTATTCCTAATGCTTCAGCAACCCGTTTGCGTAATGTGGACTTCTGATGGCTCTCCGTTTTAGAGTTAACCCCTGAAAAGTACTGATGAACGTTAATTATCATCAACTTTTCATTGTCCGTTAGCGGTGTTTCGGCCCGTTTCATGAAAGAAAAGTTCATTTTTTATTAAAATTTTTTTTGAGAAAAGGGTTTATTCAGATTTATTACAACTTATAATAGATTTTCAGCCCACCATTATTATAGTCATACCATATTTTTCTTGGTGCAAATCTTTACCTTTTTTGATGAGATACAAATGTTTTTGCACTGACCCATATTGATTTTATTAATTATAAACTTAAAATAATATGATTATTAATTTTTTTTTTTTAAAAAAGATATAATTTTAAATAATAAATAATAATAATAATAATAAATAATTCAATTAAAATAAATAAAACTTAAATTATTACAAATAATAAAGATAATTAAAAACATCATTTATTAATTTTTTTATTTTACTA